ACCTTACATATACCTAGATATATGTTGGTCACATATCTTATTAATATTAAAAATTTATTCTTTATTATTTGCTTAAATAAAAGCTACGGCATTACCTAGGTAATGTGATTAAAAGATATATGACAATTGATAATTTCAGTAATACAGATTTGCTAACAATTTTTATACCCTCTACCATTTTTGTTTTAATATTTTTTATTAACATAATTTACACAGTTACATTATTTATATAATAAAAAATTATATTTTTTCGTATATACTGTATTTTGAATTTATTAAAACGGGTATTAATTACTAAATTGTTAAATATCTCAAATAAAATTTTTGTGATCAATAGTTTAAATTTTTACTATAATAAGATACAAATAATTATAAAATACATGAGTAAGACGTCTTATTTAATATTTTTACATTAATACATATATATAATTTAAATTAAATTACATACCATATAAAAAACATACTTATATTTTGATATTTTCATTGAAAAATATTGAGAATTTAATATTTTAATTTCAAAATTTGAATTCAATTTTTAATAGTTCGAAATTTTGTTATAAAAATATACTCATAATCATAAAACCTTATAATGAGAAAATTCATTTACTAAACATCTATACTATTATTTTCGAAGTGATTTTTTGCAACGGAGCTCCCAAGTTAAAAGTTAGAGTGGTTAATGTCGTTTATACCCTTAATGAATAAAATATATAAATCAGTCAAAAATTAAAACGAATTTAACATTTATTTGATTAGATAAATGATTTAAATTAATAATAATGATAAGAATTATCCATAATCTAAATATATATTTTGGAAAAAGAAGATAATTTCTATATATATTGTGTTGTTATCCAAAAAATATATTTTAATACACAAAAATTCAAAAACAGAAAACACATAAATAAATATTCATAAAGTAAAATTTTTAATTTTATGTAATTGAAAATAGAAAATTGAATAAACTATAAAACTTAATTATTTTAAAATTAAAAGAAAATGATTTTTTGCAACGGAGCTCCCACGTTAAAAGTTAGAGTGATTAATATCGTTTATACCCTTAATGAATAAAATATATAAATCAGTCAAAAATAAAAACGAAGCTATACTATTATTTGCGAAGTGATTTTTCGTAAGGGAGCTTTCACGTTAAAAGTTAGACTGGTTAATATCGTTTATACCCTTAATGAATAATTAAAAATTTCAATATATAATTAAACATAAGTAAAAAACGAATTTCAATGATTTTAGATTTACCTTTATCTAAAACTATTTTATATTGGGTAAGGGTTATAAAGTCTTTATTGACCTTGAAAATAATTATATTTGTAATATATAATTAATTATAAATTAAAAATGAATTTCATTTATTTGATAATTATCCTTATTTATAAAAAAAAATTATATCATGTTATAAAATCTTTATGAACCTTGAAAAATAATTATATTTGTTAATATATAATTAATTATAAATTAAAAACGAAATTTATGAATTTGACAATTATCCTTATCTAACTTTTTATATTGTGTTATAAATTCTTTATTAACCTTGAAAAATAATTATATTTGTTAATATATATTTAATTATGAAAAAGTTAATTCGCAAAGAATTTATGTAAAGATAATTTATTATTGTGTTATCCAAAACATTACTAAAGATAATTTTATTATACTTCTTTTTGTTATGTCTAAAATGGTATTAATTTATTACTAAATATTTTAAATATATGAATATTTTCATATTTAATTGTCTAATGACAATTATTATATGATGATGAAAAACTTTATATATATAAAATTTTTGTTTAGATTACTATTAAATATTTTGAATGTATGAACAATAGTTTATTATAATTTACTTAAATTGATTATATATTTGTTTATAGTTAAAATTATTAAAAAAATAATTTATTATTGTGTTATCCAAAACATTACTAAAGATAATTTTATTATACTTCTTTTTGTTATGTCTAAAATGATATTAATTTATTACTAAATATTTTAAATATATGAATATTTTCATATTTAATTGTGTAATGACAATTATTATATGATGATAAAAAAACTTTATATATATATAAATTTTGTTTAGATTATTATTAAATATTTTTACTGTATGAACAATAGTTTATTATAATTTACTTAAATTTATTATATATTTGTTTATAGTTAAAATTATTAAGCCCGCAAGTGCGGGCAAAACACCTAGTTCATATTTAAAATATATTATAGATATTGTTAATGTCATTTAAATTTAATTGTATATAATATATGATGGATAAAATTGATAGCGTTGATTTATTTACCATAAATGATTGTTAATAAATAAGAATAATCCTTTGATTTAAATGCACACACCAATGGGAAATTGCCAGAAATAACACTTTTAAGATACCACTTTTCAATTTTACACTAACCAACTTTACCATTAAAAGTTTAATGGTCAAAATACTATTAGAATTTAGGGTTTAGGGTTTTTGGTTTAGGATTGATAGTTTAGGGTTTAGTGTTGATTTTTTAGGGTTTAGGGTTTACTTTTTAGGGTTTAGAGTTAGAGTTTAAGGTTTAGAATTGATATTTTAGGGTTTAGGGTTGATTTTTAAGGTTTAGGATTTACTTTTTAGGGTCTAAAGTTTAGAATTGATGTTTTAGGGTTTAGGGTTAATATTTTCTTTAATATTTATTTTATATATATATATAGAAAACAAAGATATAAGAGTCTTTTATCCTTTAATAAAATGTGTATTTTTGAAAATGTTTCTTTGTTGATGGTAAACATGAAAAGTGGTACCACCTAAGTGGTATAATTGAAATTCTCCCCACACCAAATCCCTATATATTAATTAAGGATTATTTTAAAAGTTATAACCTTAAGTTTGTACTAATTAAAAAATCATATCATATGTGGCAATTCTCTATGAAATTCTACTTAAAAGAATTCTATAGCAACTAATATAAAACATAGTTTTAAAATAAAGTCTGTTAGTTTCATATAAGACATATCAAACCAAATAACATATCAAATTAAAGCTCATATATATTCTTTCGTTAAATAAAACCGACTGAATTACCTACTGTGATTAAGATATATATGACTAGAAGTGGTGTTCGCAACCAACTGTTCTCAGTTGGTGAAGATTGTGTCTACACCAACGAAATGACCAGCTTTCACTACGCATGTGGAGGGGTTTCTACGATATAAGCGATTCTTCCCCGATTTTACAATCTGGCATATTTTAAGAGCACATAATATAATGGCTGACAAGCTAGCACGTGGTGTTAGAGATCGGTCATCTGCTATGGTTTATGTCGACTCTGTTTCACCATCTTGACTATCGGACTTGAATTCATCTTAGTTTAGATTGGCTTTTCGTTGAAAAAAAAAAATCTCCCAGCTTTGTATTTGATTAACTTTTGAATTTTCCACTTCTATTATAGGTTGCAATTTCTTTTAACCGTTAATTTATATTTAATTATACCTTAATTTTTAAGATAGGGTTTACTGTCCATCAAAAGTATCATATGATTTCGTATAATAGTTGACGTATCTGGCAAATCATATGATTTGGTATAATAGCAGAGAGGATTTTTTTAAATATTGAAAAGAATTTTTTCGCCGCCAATGTGGACCTAGTGATTGTTTAACGCTGACTTCTAAACCATTCTCGTAAAAATCAAAGATAAACAGCTGAAAAGAAAAATATGATATAATAGTGCCGATGTTAAAATCATATGATTTGGTAGACACATTTTCTAATTATTGAAAAGATTATCATATGATGTAGTGCAGGATAAATGCAGTACAAATAAAATATTAATATTTTATGTCTAGTTTTAAAATATATAATTACACTAAATATTCAAATTTGATACTTAGATAAACAGAAAATATATAGGTTCTAGTTCATTTTTAATGTTGTTGATAATTAACACAAATAAAATATTAATACTTTACAAAAACTATAACGTCGCCAGTTTTTTTTTTTATAGAAATCAACTAAATCAAACCATACATGCTATTGTTTGCATATATTGATAAATTTGAATAGTTACTTTATAAGCACTTAATAATTTTAGACAATGAAAAGTCAATATAAAAGCCTTTTTCAAAAAAAAAAGTCAATATAATTTGTCTTCATTCTTAAATATATATATATATTATATATTCATGTATTTTTATATTATAATTAACTGGTTTTCATATTTTTATATTATCTCATATATATCCATATCCAATAAAAACAATTAAAAATATAAGTACATTATTATCTCTTTTTCAATAAATTACGAAAAATTTTAATTTCTTAGAAATAAATTAAATTTAGTATTTAATAATACTTAGTAAAATTAACTTTTTTCTCTACAAACATAGTATAACGTATGCATGTAATGTAATCATCTATTTAATCTATGAATTTATACATGTTATTTATATCACACGTATTAGTTTCATATATGTATAAATTAAAGTATTTTTGTAAAATTAATAATATTTTATATAATTTATCTACATACCATTATTTATTAAATAACAAGAATAATAATTAAAGTTTGTATTTTTTTAATATATTTAACATATAATATTTTATCTTCAACATTCAGTAAAATAAGATTATTCGATAGATTTACTTTAACTAGTAAGATCTGTATTTGTTTTGCATAATTTAGCTAACTGCATTCGTTCTGCATGATATACATTTTCTGTTTGAACTTTGTTTTCTTGATCTGCATACCATTTAAAGCATATATCACCCAAGCTGGAACTATTCATTTTTTTTAAATGTGTAAGGCACATTTTGCTTTAGCCATTAGCCAATTTCATAAGATCAAATATAAACAATTGATTAAAGTATCAACATTATCTGTCAAATCTTTGATTTGGTATAGTGGCCAAGGTGGAACTAATCATTGTTTAACGCGCACTCAACGGTTGGAAAACACTATTTGATTGAGACCACGTGATATGAACTTTGCATGCTATTACAAAATTCAGAGATTGAAACCAGAAAACAAGTTATGGAGATGTCAGAAGATTCAAAACAAATTACAAGAAACGGTAACTCCACTGTATTTTTATTTCTTCTGTTATATTGTTTGTGTTCCCATAAATAAAATAAAATAAAATAAAAAACTGAGAATTGAATTCTAACTTCTTTTACCAACAGAAGGTTCAGAACAAGCTCAGATACCAGAACCAGATAAGATGTTTAATCAAAGAAAATGGTGGATCTCTGTTTCCTTATGTATTTTCTTAGTCTTGCTCGGAGATTCTCTCGTCATGCTTCTCTTAAACTTCTACTATGATCAAGACAATCGTGAAGACAGTAATCAAGATCTACAGTACAAAGGAACATGGACTCAAGCTCTGATTCAAAACGCTGCGTTTCCAATCCTCATCCCTCTCTTTTTCATTTTCCCTTCACCAAAACAAAACCCTGAAACCAACAACACTCGTTCCCTCTCTTTTCGTCTTCTCTTTCTTTACTTCTCTCTTGGTGTTCTTGTTGCTGCTCACAGCAAGTTATTCACACTTGGGAAGCTATACGCAAACTATGGAGTCTTCTCGTTGATTTCCGCAACACAGTTGATATTTACAGCGGTTCTCACAGCCGTCATTAACCGTTTCAAGTTCAACAGATGGATCATCTTATCGATACTCGTCACTCTTGTGATACACGTTTTTGGTAGACCTTACTTTGCAGGAGAGCCTGATGAAGATGAAGAAGATTATAGCATCCAAGCTTGGTTAACTTTCTCTGCTTCGGTTGCTCTTGCATTATCTCTCTGTTTATCCCAACTCGTGTTTGAGAAATTTTTGGTGAAGACAAAGAGATACGGTAACAAGAAAGTGTTTAGAATGGTCTTAGAGATGCAAATATGTGTCTCTTTTGTCGCCTCGGTTGTTTGTCTCGTTGGTTTGCTTGCAAGTGGTGAATATAAGGAGCTGAAAGGAGATAGCGAGAGGTTTAAGAAAGGGGAATCGTATTACGTTTTGAGTCTGGTCGGGTTAGCTTTGTCGTGGCAGGTTTGGTCGGTTGGGTTAATGGGTTTGGTGCTTTATGTTTCGGGTGTGTTTGGTGATGTTGTACATATGTGTGCTTCACCACTTGTGGCTTTGGTTGTTGTGTGGGTGTTTGATTTTATGGATGATGAATTTAGTTGGCCTAGAGTAGGTACGTTGATAGGAGCCGTTTTTGCTTTAGGATGTTACCTTTACTCTTTGCACAAGAAGAACAAGAAGGAGATGGTGGAGCGTAACCAAAGAGAGAACGATGTTGAAGTTTAATCTCTAATGTCAAAATGTAATGATTGTGTCTTTTTGGATATTTTATTGTTTTTAATCTTGTAATTCGATGTCTAAATATGCTGTATAGCTTTGAAAGCTGTGTAATTCATTTGTTAATTGTTTTAGTCTGATTTTCAATTTTATGGTATATGCATTTTACAGTTATCTGTTAATGAGGTTCTAGTCTGACATGGTAATCGATGATATTATTACTGATATGAGAGAGTGAGTGATGCCAAGACATCTGTGCCAGAGGTAATGAATAATCAGAGACCGAGACTCCATCATGCCGAAGGTTTGAAGAAATCCAAAAGATAGTCCGGCTGAGAAAGGAAGATGAGGATGTTCATTTGTGGAGAGGCAAAGGCAACAAATACAAAACCAAATTCAGTACTAAGGACACTTTGCACAATATCAGAATTCATTACAAGAAGCATAGTTGGCCTAGAGGCATCTGGTTTACGCACAACACGCACAAATCGCTTGGTTGGCAATGTTGGATAGGCTACCTTCGATTTGATAATTCCCATTGGATTTTCAGCTATTGCATCAAATGTTCCAGCTCCGGCCCAATTCTCAAAGTCATGTTAGAGGAGTTATTTCTTACTGGCTAAAATGATCTACGGGAGAGAAAATTAGGATATCTAACTCATGAGCGAAAGGAGGATGCATTTTCTGCTTGCAACCTGAGGATATAATCACCTATTCTTCTCGTATGCATTTACTTCTGAAGTTCGGTGTCTGGTCACGTGAAATCTCATGGGAACAAAATACACACAATGGAATAACATTGTGCCTCTTCTAATAGACCCAACTGACTTTCCAATTGACACTATACTAAAATTTTGGAATCATAGCATTAATTTCTAATTAAAACAGAAATTGATACTTGTAAAAGAGTCTTTGATCACCTATTCTAACTAAAGAAATTGACAATAAGATGATCTACACCTAACTGCATCACCTGAGCCGTCCTATGAAGATTCACGTCTGGCGAGTTTACTTGAACCATGCTGAAGATTCCTTGTAACAATTTCTTCGTAACCTGCATAATTGTTTAATAAATCGTTTTTGCTGGAGATTAAAAACCTGAACTTCTTGGTGTAGAAGCATTAATGAACCATCAATCAAACCACTGGATTAAAGGGGTTTCTAGAACTAAAGATTGTTTTAATGAACCCTCAATCAAACCACTGAACTAAAGGGGCTTCCAGAACTAAAAACGGTTTTACAATGGAGGTTACTGTTTAGTGAATATATTTTAGGAATGATAAGTATCAATTTATGTTTTTAGTTATAAACTGTATGCTATATTTCCTAGAAAAAACTTCGCTAAACAGTAATCTCCATTGTAAAAAAAATCTTTTGATTTGATTACAATTTCACATTCATTTCAAAAAAGTATATATATATATATATATATATATATATATATATATATATATAAGGCTGGTCCATGGCTATTGAAGGCCCTACTAAAACAAAAAGTGTGTACTGTTTTTTATTTATCAAACTGATAAATAATACAAATATTTTAAAATAAATACAAAAGCAAAAGAGACAGAGTATGATATCATCAAAAACAGAGTTTGGTATCAAAAAACAGAATTTTCAAAAAGACCTCAAACAAAAGGAACAAAAGTCCCTGTTTATATATATCAATGCAAAGATATTAGTCTTTAGCAAGAAACACATGATACACATACACACGGATCAAATATCACGTGAAGGATTTACTAATTCATATTCTCTCACCTTTTTCCCACATCACTCACACCAATCTCCTACTAATGTTTATTTATGCTTGTGTTTTTATATTATACTGTAAAACACTCGAGAAATATACTTTATTGTATCAGAAATTAGAGATATACGTGCAGAGGACTAATGGAAACAAAATCTTTATGCACATTCACCAAGCTCATATAGACCCATCAGCCCTGCGGCAGCAATAACTCGCCATAGCAGAGCCAGTTTGACCAACAATAGTAACCATGGCTGGTGAGGCACCCTTGTTAATCGTATTGGCAAGTAAGCCGAACCCTAAGAGTACTGCAACTATTAGTCGAGCCGTTGAGCCAAACCATGCCCATGGGAAAGCTAGTGGGATGTCATAAGTTGTCACCTTCTTCAAACAATATTTTTCGTTACCTTCATTAGGATGAGTGGCGGTTACGACTTTCTCAACCTCCTTAACGACTTTCTTGATGAACTTTGACTCGGATCTGTGAAATTATAGAGGTATATCAGTGAGATCCTTCGAATATAAAAATGTATTTCATCCACTATAAGTCTATAACTCAAGCGGGTTTTGACTGTACAAATAAAGTATATTCAAACTCCTCCACGACAGAAGCAAAACGATCAACTGTTCGTATTGAACTGCTTTGGCCCATTTTTCTAATAGTTTAGCTTATATTTAGGCCCGATTATTTATTTGGTCCCAATAGAGGATACCTGGTAGTCTATCGTCAGATAATAACGCCTCGTATAATATTGGTTTTTTGACAATATAAATCTTGGTTTTTGAAGAATAGTTTAGAAAAACGATGCAAATAAATAATTTACGAACAAATTTCTCACCAAATCCCCTATATATTAATTGAGAAACATTTGAAAAGATGTAACCTCAATTTTGTATTAATTAAAAGAGGCCCCAATGCATAGGTGTCATTCAATTATGTAGTCAATTAGATTCAATTGAAAAATAAGTAAGTCCACATTGGATTTTTATAGGTTGCTAGATACATTAGTTAGTCAAACTATATGATATAATGATATGATATGCTATTTTCTTTCCATAAACAAAACCTACGGAATTACCATAAATGACTAATATATATATGACACTTAATGATTGTTCCCTAAGATATAATTACTATTTTATTTTATTTCCATAAATAAAATCTACGCAATTACCATAAATGACTAATATATATATATATGACACTTAATGATTCTAATAATAAATATTTGATAACAGTTTATATATCCTCCATCTTTTTTCTTTAATTTTATATTATTAATATAAATTAAACAATCAAATTAGCTATAAAATTAAACTTTATATTTTTCGTATAGGTTATATTTTGAATTTTAAGAAACGAGAATAAATAACTAAACTATTAAAATTATTATGTTAAAAATTAATGATCAATAGTTTAACATTTTATTATAAAAAGATATACACGATTTTAAAACCATATAAGTAAAAAGTATCATTCAATAATAAAACAAATATATATATATACAGATTAAACTATATACCATATAAGATTACATAAATATTTTAATTTCAAAATTTTCAATAAATTTTCAAGAAAATTTATAAATTATAAACTTATTAAATTTTTCACATTGAAATTTTTTGTTATCAATGATTTAAATATCTTAGTTCTTTTTTTAATTTTATATTTTTAAAAGCTATTAACAATCGATAATATGGTTATTTTTGGTATATACCATACAAACCGAATGGATGTGATTTTATAAAAATCATAGGATTTGGATATGGTTTGATTTATAATCGATTAAACTGAAACATGTAAATATGTATATATTTATAACAACGCATGAATATCTATTTGTTACATGAGTTGAACTATAATTATAATTTGTAAATAGTTAACAATTTATTACAACTAAGACTTCTTATTTTGATCTTTTGTTTTTTTAACAGTAACTAAATTGAAGTAAAGATTATAAATATGATGGACAACAATTAGTTGAAATTCTTTACAACTTTTTTTATCGTTAAACAAACAGAGTTGTGTTCAATCGAAGACATATTGGTTTGATGAACACTAAATATGGAAGAATATAAAAACTTTTCTTTCATGCTTCTGTTTTGTTTTTTATTTTTATTTTCAAAATTTAGTGTTTTGATATTAATTCTAGATTTGATCATTTTATTAGATGATAGAAGCCTTTTTTGTTTTTTATTCTTTTATTTNTTCAATCGAAGACATATTGGTTTGATGAACACTAAATATGGAAGAATATAAAAACTTTTCTTTCATGCTTCTGTTTTGTTTTTTATTTTTATTTTCAAAATTTAGTGTTTTGATATTAATTCTAGATTTGATCATTTTATTAGATGATAGAAGCCTTTTTTGTTTTTTATTCTTTTATTTAAATATATAATATTTTTTTTAATAAATGACTCTGTGACAATATGACTCTAAATATGATCATATTATATATTGTATAATATATAATATGATCTCAAACTAAATAATTATGTTTTTTGGTATAAAATTGAATAAACTGAAAACCGATGGTATATAAACCAAATCAAACTGAAGTACATATAGATTTAGAATAGTAGTTATATTTTAATGATCGAAATACCAAAAAATCGAGTCGAACCAAAACCCGATATCCGGATTGAACACCTCTAATCCGAATGAAACCGAACTATTGTTTCATTTTTAAAAACATAATAAAAATAATAGTTTCATCCCGCGCAAGGCGCGGGTCTTATCCTAGTAAATAGTTATTTTTGAATGATGTATTTTTCAATTTGTGTAGAAAAGTGAAAGCAAATAATAAAATAAATAGTTATTGTAGTGGATGACCATTTGACCCTATATGACAATACATCATATAGCATATGACTATATTACATATGATATTTAAAAGTTAGATAAGTAATCATTTTATGACAGTTTACCGTTCTTTTAATCATTTTAGGACAAATTGACAAAAAACTTGTTTCCACAAGAAATATAAGAAATCCTCTCTCTATTTTTCCTTCATTCTTTGAGAGGAAGGTAATTTATCTTTTTACTGGTTTATAATTGTATGCTGATGCGTTAGTTATTCAGATTATTAACCGTAAAACAACAAATCAAATGATAGTTGTTTTTGTTTTTGTTTTTATTTTTTCTGATATTTGTTAGTTGACATTTACGCCAATAAACATGCAACTATCCTGTTTTTGGTTTGAACTGCTAGTCTGCGACTATCCTAAACCAAATTAAGATTTATGTCATCATAGATATATTGTACGGATGCAACCATATAACTTTGACCCAAACGTTGCAATAATAATCGAATCTATAACCTAAATATTTACTAAAAACAGAAACTGCTTAACCTCAAATTGATTTGGCGTTACTTATTCTCTTCGAGCACGTTCTCCCACGTTTCTTTTTGTCTATCCCGTTCATGCTTTTTGTCAACGTGTTCGATCTATATTATATTGTTAATCTGTTTCTATCGAAAAATTAAAAATCTAAAAGCCTGGAGCTTTGTTTTTTTTAAGGTAAAAGGTATGGAAACCAAAAAAAAACTTGTAAACAAAAGCATATCTGCAGAATGTCACGTAAGAATCCTTTATAAGCGTTTCTTGTTTAAATCTTGCTATATATACCTATTGTGCTCCAACGTGAAGCCAATCTTGTTTGACACAGCCTTCAAAGCTACTTGCCATTTTTCCATCTCTTCACGGCTGGATTTTTCAGTCCGTTTCAAGAACTTAGAGCCAAAGGCTCCCTTTTGTTTCCTCACTTCTTTCGGTGTCACCTTGTAGAAGATTGGGATGACTATCAGTTCTTCTCTTTCAGCTTGTTCCATGATTCTCCGCAGCTCTTCCAAACACCATTTTGATTCCCCATACCTATATATTGACAATAATATCTTCATAAATAAAGAACAGTGTCTAATAAAAAGCTGTTAGAGGCTGAGCATTGCCTTGTGGATAAGATAACCAGCGCGACTGTGGCCTCTTCAATCCTCTTAAAGAGGTGTTTCAGGTCTCTTCCCTTTTGTTCATGCGTGTCTATGAAGAAATTGATGCTGTGTCTTTCGAAAGCATCTATAAGGTGACTGGCGAAGCCATAGCGAAGATCTTTTCCTCGGAAGTTTATGAACACTTGATGGGTGCGGTGAGGTAGATAGGCCATCCCAAAATCTTCTCTGTTCTTATTTTGCTAGTGTCTGTAGGTGTTGGATTCAGTGCATATATAGGAGAAGACAAGCGACCAAAAGGAAGTGGTGAAAGTGGCTGTGGCATGTGGCTGTATTCTTTGCAGATGAAGAGATATCAAATGGGTCTCGCGATCGTTTTGTATATTATTTTTTTCCCACCATGCACATCTGTTGTTTGACACACGCAGCAAACAAACTTTGTGCAAATGTGTTACATTACATACTTTTATGTTTTATTACCTTTCGTTGATTGCGTGAGATATGATGTAAGTTTCAACCCTATATATAATATTTGTTGTTTTTCCGGTTATTTTTGTTGTTGAAGTTTATCCATGGAAAGTTCCAACAAAAAAAATTCTATGTTTCCATACGAAAGGTTGTTTCTGTACACTGTTGACAAAAAAAATAGGTTGTTTCTGTAGACTTATAGTGAGCGCGACAGCTTTTCATGAATATATTAAAGCTTCATATTTTTTTATAAAAGACAACTTTTTAAATATTTCTCGTTATGTCGGTCTTCGTTATTATCTGGCTTTATCAAAATATGCTTATGAAAAAATTAAAATAAGAACAGAAGTAGGAAAGAGGCACACATGTAAGTTCTCGAACAGAAGTGAGTATAGAACCCTTTCACAAAGTAGTACGTAATTTAATATATACACTAGATTTTGATCCGCCTTTCGAAGGACATGTATATTTTTGTTTTAATTTTTTTGAGAAATTTAATGTTTTAATTTTTTTATATATTTAATTATTTATGAATAATATTAAAAAAGTTCGTGTTATTGATATAAAATAATTGAATGACAAATAGTAGGACCAAATATTTATCAATTAGTCATGATCATATTTTTATAGATACAGTTAACATATAGACTAATAAAATTCTTAAGATTTTTTATTAGTATAATTTATGACAGTTATAATTTTTTTCTAATAAAAGGTTAAAATCGAAATCAAAATAGTTTATCCTTTTTTAATAACATTGTATTGGCTTTTACATGGTATTGGTCTTAACACCGAAAACATAATTATTGATCACACGTTCAAATATATTATGCAATTGTCTATCTTAATATGTATACAAATGAGAATAGTTGTAAGATAAAATGATGAGAGTGATTGGTTCCAAAAATCTAGGAATAAAGAGAGGTTATAACATAAATCATTACTCAGAAATAGTAGATACGTAGAGATAGTTAGTTTATTTAATGGTAGTCCAGTGGTACAAAGTAATATTCCAAGATATATCAAGAGTAAATAATAAGAGTGATCATAAATTAATGGTATTAATATCCGTCTTTTTGAAAAGATGGATAAAAATCTAGTTTTTAGTTATTTTAGGATAAATTTGGACAATATTAGTATATTAATCTCTATAATATTATTTGAGAAGTCAATTTCCTATGTGGTGCGCTCACGTTGACTCTTATACCGGTTGATTACTATGATACCCTTGATAAATATATTTAAATAGTATATTTAAATAATATTATTAATTTTATGTTTAGTTTCCTTTTTAAAACATTCCAAATAACTTTTATGATAAAAAAATAAAAAAACGAAAAATATATGTTTATATAATATGATTTAATTAAAAAGAAAAGTTCACAAAATAGTAATATACTATCAAAATAGTAAAATAGTATTATTAATTTTGTATTTAGTTTCCTTTTTAAAAATTTCCAACTAAAATTTATAATAGAAAAAAATATCTATAAAATTTAAAAGGAAAAATTAAAAACGAAAATATATGTTTATATAATATGATTTCATTAAAAGGGAAAATTAACAAAATAGTAACATCCATTAAAAATATTTTAAATAACATAAAATGTACTTTTTTATTAATAAAATACTTTCTTTATATCTGTTTTTTCTCATATGAAAATATATATTTTTATATAATGTGATTTCATAACAAAAAATTCACACATATAATTTTGATATTTGAAAAAAAAATTACTTTTAAACATAATTATAAGTAACATAAACAAGTATATGTTTTTATTAACTAAAATAGTTTTTAATTAAAATTATTGAATATTTTATTTATTCTCATATATTTAGTTGACTATAGTATCTTTCAACTAAAGCAAAAAAAAATATCTATAAATTAAATTTTACTTATATAATATGATTTCTCAAATACAACCACAATTTTACTGCTTATTTTTAAGAGAAATTAAAATATTTTTTAACAATAAACATCTTTTAATCAAATAATTACAAAATATTTTAAAATATCATACCACTATATACTTTAATGACATAGATATGTTATATTCTATCATTATTTAAATTATATGTTTCTTAATTTTAATTTTTTTAAAAAAAAATTATGTTTGTGTAACTTAATATAACCATAATAAAAATACCAAAGCAAATCCGAATTCTCATTTTTATGATTATTTAAAATAATTTCAGTTTATCATTCAATAAATCTAAGATATAAAATTATTTAGAATTTATAAAATATTTTAGTTATTGTAAATATTGATATGTGTTCATGAATCTCCAAAAATATATGACTTACTTAAGTATGTAACTTCCTACTGATTATTGCTTTATTTTCTACTATGTTTTAAAGAAACATATAACTTGATAAATATTATGAAAATACGTGCACATGTAAATGATAAATAATATTACTTTAATTTGATTTATTTTGTGAAATTTATATATATGCATGAGACTTTAAATATTATCTTTATATCGATTGATGTAATTTGAAATCAAAATTATTTTATATTTCATTATAGGCATAATATATCTTAAGTTATAAACAACTTTTCTAAAATATATTAACATCCGAGACAGCAAACAACCTANAAAAGTAAATAATAGAATTAATCAAAATTTAATATGTTTAGAATAAAAAATATTATAGTTGAATTCAGATAAAAGAATGTAATCTAATATACCCAAATAATAATAATAAAATCGACTATAAAATAATAAAATTGACTAGATATAATATTTCTAAAATAATATGTCTAATTAAAGTAAAATAATATTATTAATATAAATCTTGTATGCAAATTATAAATTAATTGAAAATTAAATGTAAATAGTAATAAATTATTATAGTATATTTACTTAATAAATATTTATACCCGTGCATGAGCACGGGGAAATCACCTAGTTTATGATATATAAAGAAAAGATATGGATATATTTTTGTATTCTTTACAAATCATAAGTATGTTTGTGTTAATAGGACTATTTTATAATACAAAGAAAATATAAGAAACTTAAGATTATAATTTATGGTCAAGTGAAAACATCAATTGAAAGTTCATTTCAAGTCTGTTTTCATGTTTAAAGCTGATAAAATATCATTTATTGCCAACAAAATTTTAATTAAAAGGTCTAAACGATGAAAAAATACGATTACAAATGGTGCACAACAAATAAAAATAAACCACAAAATAATATTCAAAAAATGGATATTATAGTGGAGTACACGTGTATTGTTACAGTTATTTTCAAAAGAATCTGGACAATTTCACTTCACAAAGCTTACATCATCATCATCTCAAATGCAGTTTGGCCCTAGAAATTAAGTTTTCGCCGCCGAGTCGATTGAGTCTTCACCGTGAGGCCTCTGTCACTTGCTTGCACCAAATTGCAGCATTTTAGGATGATAACCGAAAAAAAAAACTGGAAGAATTTGTGATCTCCACCTCAGAATTGTCTTAAAAGAGAGTTTTCTTGTCATCATCTAAATTATCGTAATCTGCATTAAACCAACCTAACCATTTTAACCGTTCACCCAAAGAAAATTTCATCTGTGAGAGCGAAGAGTTACTTTCATCTGTGAGAGAAATTACGGTGAAGATAAATCGATCAATAGAATTTTATTACGAAAGTAGAAACATAACCGTTTTCATTAGATAGAAAAAAACGTGGTTAGTTTTTAAATAAACCTGAATACAATTATATAAAAAGAATAATAAGAGGATCTCAAATAAAAGGAATAAATATTTGGACACAACATATGTCAATTGGTCATGTTCCTAATTTAATAGTATTGACTAGATTTTGACCCGCGCTTTGGAAGCGCGGGAAAATTTTCATTGAAAATTTGGTTAATCCTTCTCGTTGTTCTCTAATATGATTAGACATGGATGCACAGTTTTTCGAATGAGTTTATTATTTGGTTGGTCGAGATATATAAAGTGTGTAGTTTGTTATGATGAATATTTTTTTCACATTTTTTGAGTTTTTGGATTTGTTTAGACATCAAATGTTAGGAATCCGTTAAAGTTTTAGGTTTAATACGGTTCCATTTGGCATTTAATTAAGGTTATTTTGAGATTACTTATAATTTTAGAACTAAATATTTTGAGACTCTTATCTATATGTAAAAAAAATTGTATTATTTTCTCTTAGTTTGGTTTTTGTATTTTAACTATCCCTAATTTGATTGTAACTAAGATGATATATTGTATATTTTCAAAAACCAATTGACAAAATGGTTTAAATTTTTTTTGATAAAGGTGGGCTTAGTTTACCGATTTTTTTTATTATTGTACATGGGCTTCTGAAGCTATATTGTATATTTTCAAAAACCAATTGAAGTTTTGGGCTTCTTTCTTGCTTTGTTGGCCCGGAATCAAAAATATTCTAATTAAATAATACTAAAATTTTGTGGTCTCACATAAACTTACCGACAGAAATAAAAAAAATCAGAAGTAATGTCTTAAAATATCATAAACTCACCGACAAAATAGTATCCAGATCTCTCTCAAGCGATGAATCTGGAAAATCTCCAAAACATCATCTTCTTGTCCGTTCGAAGAAAGAAAAACAATAGGATAGAGATCGATGGAAAAATTAAAAGACACAATCTGTCTAAAGAGAGTTCTTTCCAAACATGCATCAATCTACTTCTCGATCTGTAAGTTTTTTTTTTTGCTTAAAGATTTCTATAATATTAAATTATTTTGTTTGTGGTCTTGTACATATGATT